CAGCAAACCACCCGCCGCCCCTCCAAACCCCAAACAGCTCGGACCAGTTTCAGCAAACAAGTTCAAAGGTACGGGGGGGCTAAATCCTGCCCCGGTGCTGAGCGACGCTCTCCACCGGGACAAGCATGGGCGGCCGGCGAGCAGCCTTGCACCCCGCCGGCACGGAGCTGGGCTAGAGCCCGGTCCCGCCACGCCGTGCATCGCCTCGAAATCCCGCTCCTCCTCCAGGTGACCACAGTTTTGCACAACCCGCACGCGCCAGAAGCCAGAGGCCCGAACACCGGAGCACCCAAAACGCCCGCGCAGAGCCCAAAGGCTGCAGCTTAGAGACGGGGTGGGGGGGGGCTACTTGCTGCATCTTCGAGAATGCTTTCACCAAACCACACGACGGAGATTTTTTTTATACCGGGGCTGCATTTGGTGCTCCGCAGCCCAGTGACGCTATTTAGACGGGGGTTGAGCTACTGCAGTCTCGCGCGCACGCGAAAAGCGTCAACAGCACAGCGCTCAGACGCCCCGCGCCGATACGCTAATCCTCCGGCCTCTGAAACGTGCTCTTTTTTTATGCGCACATCCCGAGCCAACTTGGCACCCGCCTTCAGCCGTGATCCAAATTAGATTAGCTCTGCCGCTGGCCGGGACAGACCTACTCCGGGATCGTCTCGAGCAATCCGTCCCTGACAATACCGGAGCGCTATAGGGAAGTCTATAGCATAAGCCGCTCCGGTTTGCTGCGCCAGTCAAAAAAGCACGCTACAACATGCACAGGGAGCTTTTCTCTACCCGACTGGGAAAGTCAAAACATCCTAAAAAAAAAATAATAATAATAATAACAACAATCAGAAACCGCAGCAGCCTTTCCACCAGCAGCGCAACGGCAAGCGCAGCGACGGGGCCCCGGCTCGCGGAGGAAAAGATGACGTTTAAATTACGAACAAGAAGCGTTTTGGGAGCCCAACTCCCCGGCGAGTCGGATCCTCCCGCGGGAGGACGCGGCGTCCGAGCGCGCCCCTTCGCGCGGGGGCAAGTCCAGGAGGAGGCCAGTGAAAGCCAGCGGACTTGCTCGGGGGTCCCGGCCTCCGGCACAAGTCGCAGAGGCTGTCACCCGTCAGCTAACAGGCTGAGGCAAGAGCGCAACTAAGGCCACCCCGAAAACGGTGATAAAACCCATCTTCCAACCGGCTGAGCCGTTTTCTTAAGGCACCGCTTCAACGAAGGGGTTTAAATTCTCCTTGTGGTGCAGTGAAACTGGAGACGAGGAAGGGAAGTTTATGGCAACACGACTCCCGTACGAGGTGGGTCCCCCACGCTACGTTTTGAAGCGGCTGGGGACGGACAAGCTCGGCGCGGGAGCTTTTCGGCCGCCCCTGCAAAGGGAGCCCAGGACCTGGCCCCGGCAAGCAAACAGCGGCGGGGGCGGTTAAGCGCCCGCCACCCGCCCCAACGCCTTGCCGTCCCAGGGCTTAGAAAGCTTGTGGGGGACCGAGGGCAGTGGCATCGTCCCCCCCGAGGGGAGCCAGGGGGGCATTTCAGGGGGAAAAAAAAAACTGCTGGCTCACGTTGGTCCACGTGCAACGAGGGGGGCCGGTGCCTTAAAAGGCTCGCGTGGATGGAGCGTGCAGTCACCATGGAGGAGTTTCAAATCCAGAAAAGCACCGGGCAAACACACACGCGACACACGAGCTCGCCCCCGGCGCTGCCAGCGGCCCCCGGGCCGCCCAGTGCCGGGGATTTACCTCTGACCACTCCGACATTTCCCACTGGGGCCCGCAGGCGGGATTCTTGCAGACTTTGCGTTCATCGGGCCTGGTAATATCAGCGGATTCGCAGAGATCGCTGTAGACAGAGCTGTCAAAACCAGGAGAGATCATCTTCCAGCATCGGACAATCCGAAACTGGTACCCTTCCCCGCAGGTGCGGGAACACTCGCTCCAGCTGCTCGTCTCCCACCTGCGAAAAGCAAGAGAGGCCGTCGCTGCAGCACGGGCGCTCGCGCCGCGGGGCCACGGGCGAGCGGGGAAAGGCCCTTTCGGCAACCCAGGGCGCCTTAATGCTTGCAGGGAGGCTGCTGCAATAGGAATAACACGTAATCAGGCTGTAAAGGTATCGGAGGTTTCCCCACGGGGTAGGATTAGGCATCGTTCCACCCCGCGGACGGCAAGCTGCGCAGATACGCCTGTGCTGGCGGACGCTAAAATCAGGTTGCCAAGAGGAAAAACGAGCCCGTGCGGTGAGAAAAGGACGTGTGCGAGCGCTGCGTAGTCCCGAAAGGACGCGAAACCAGACCCTGCCGGTCCTTTCCCGTCCCCTGACACCGCTCTCTTGGCTTACAACTGGGGAGACGCTTCGAAATCCAGGGGAAGGACATAAAAAAGGGCTCTTATGCTAGTCTAGACTTTTATAGTACAGTAACGCTGCAGTAATTCTGACGTGAAGAATAAAAATCTAAACGAAACAGAGGTCATAACTCCTGGAAAGAAGAGGCTGCCCCGTGGGCTCCAGGGGACGCCTGCTCTCCGGGCAGGAAAGCCACGTCCCCGGCCGCGGACCCGCCGAGGAGCACGCGCCGGACACCGCGGGCAGGAACAGGGCAATGTCACACATTTGCAAGTGCCACCGAAATTCAGGAGAGAGATGAAACCAAGATCTTCTCTGCCTAGATCAGGCAGCTCTGGCACAAGCAAAAATTAAAATTCCCACCCACGCAGCGTCCCACCTGCCTAAACGAAAGCACGCGTGCCAGGATGCTCCGCTCTGAGCTCCCGGCAGCTCCTTCCCTCACCCGCCAATGCCCTGCAGTCGCTCTGGGGCTGCTAAATCACAGACCGGCTCTTTTCTCCTTTACAGCAGTAGCGCCACGGAGCGAGAACAACACGGCTATAAGGAGAGGCTGCTTTTATAAAAGGCCTGTGGGAGAACGTGCGCGTGAAAAGAGCTCTAATGCTTGCGCTAACAAATTGTAAAGTTAATGCAAATACAGATTAAGGTCCCCGTGGTACCTCCAGAGCGGGTGTGTTCCCCGCAGTAGCACCATCCACCTCCCCACGCTTTTCAGGGCTGAACTGCAACCTGGCCTGTTGTCAGCCCTGCAGTTTTGCTGCCCGGCCCTTCGAGCCCCACGCCGCCTGCTGAGTTACAACCAAAGGATCAGCCAGCACCAGCCGCGGGCCGGGGAAGCAACGTCCCTTGGGGCTGAGTCAAGGCATCGGCAACGGACCAGCTCCTGCAGAGCCCCTTACTCACGCTCCCCTTTGCTCGAGGAGCGAGAGAGCAGTCAGGCAAAACCACAATACATTTAATTTTGAGTATTAAGCCAGCATGGTCCAAAGCTATAGTGGCTTCACAGTGGGACGTTGCTGCCTTTTCGCTGAGCCAGTAACTTGCAACATCACAGCTGCGCTAGATGCCGCTTACAATTACACGAGATGAAAACAAGCGTTCTTTGTGCGTTCGCAGGGCTATACCACGTCCCGGACATCACTCGCACCTTAGTTTCACTTGTAAATAGCACAAAACATTTCAGGGTATGTATTAGGCAGTTTTACTTCTCCCTTTGCCCTGTCAGCAGCCTGACACCCGGGAACATCCCAGTCGTCTCCCCTTGGACGGACGTTGGCCTGTCCTGCCCGTAACCACTATCACGAGCCTTGAAACGAGCACGTCCCTGCGACCAGCATCAGCAACGCGCCGAGTGGCACGGACTGGACCTGGAGGGAAATCGAGCAGTCTCCCCCATGGGAACGGCGGGCTTGGGGTTAGGGCGGCAAATCATGCTTTTCGGATAAAAACCTGCATCAGAAGGAAAACCCTCCCAAGGAGCTCCAGCACAGGCTCCCGACTGGCCCAGCCTCTGCCGCTGCTCTGATAACCCAGCATCTTGAACCAAGCAGTTGAGAATCGGGACGAAAGCCCGGCTGTGCCCTGGCACGTCACAGAGCAGGAGCACCCAAGCCTCAGGGTCTTTGCCCCATCCCTGCTCCTGCCGCCAATAAATCCACGCCACCCGCCCCGGTATTTCTCCCGCAGAGGCAACGCGGGGCCCCGCGAGCGCCGTGTCGCGGTGTACCTGGGCTGGCACTCTCTCCCTGCACAGAACTCATGGACCGGCTCGGGACGGGTCATGGCATCACAGTACGTATCGTCCACTTCGATCCCGTCATAGCGCACACACATAGCATACGTGGACATCACTCCTGGTGTCAAAGAGAACACACATACACACACACAACAAAGGACGCTTGGCGATTTTGACATGCAAACATTTTTTTTTTTCTTTTTGGAGCTGCATTTTCCAAAACTTCCTTCCGACGGGAAGCAGCAGGCCTGACTTGACAGGGGGAGGACCGAGGCGGCAGTTCCCGGGCCACCCAGCGGGGCTTGCCACCGGCAACAGCACACGAAGAGCATGACTGCAATGGAAACGCCTGGGGCACCGAGCCTGCCTGGCCGATCCCTCAGCCCAGCAACCCAAAAAGCACCCGCAGCACGCTCGGCCCCGGAGCTGCTCTCGTACGGGACCTCCCCTCCTCCTCCCGGCACCGCACGGAAAGCGAGCATCGCCGCACGGAGACCTTTCCCCCCCTGCAGAGTAGATTTTGCCAAGTCCATTCTGGGACCTGGCCGGGGACCAGGAGGCTGCTCTGGCTACAGGTAACAAGAATTTCAGCTCTCAGAAACATATGGTTTGCATGAAGCTGAAAAAAAAAAAAAGATCTTGACATTGTATTGCTTCTCTGCGATATGTCATTAAGAAAAGGTAACGACACCGGAGAGATTTAAGTAAAATATTGCCCTGCTGGCTGCAAGCTGGGGCACAGCAGCCCGTCCCAGTCAAGGGGAAAATTTGTTCAAAAGGGATCAAAGAACTCAAAACTGTCCTCGAGCACAGGGGTTAGAGGATCCCGGGGACAGGGCGGCTTGCGAAGCGCCTGCTGCCTGCACCTCGCGTGCAAAGCGCCTGCAGGACAAGAACAAAAGCTCTGGCACGCTTAAAAAAAAATAAAACCTGTGCATTTGTTCTTTTAAAAAGCATCCCGTAGAGATTGTAACCTCCTCTTCACCCTTTGTTCCTTCTTTCTAACTGCAGAAGTGAGGAAGTATCTGCTTTATTTCAGGGAAGGGGCTGTTTGGGAAACGGTGCGGGTGAACGTACTACCCCGGTGCGCGTTTCATTCCAAGTGACGGGTTTCTCAGGAGCTGGA